ATCAATAAGTTAAGATAATGTATAGTCAAATTGATCTTCAATGAAGTTCCTATAGCTGATACTAGCCTAAAGTTTGCTCGCTCATGCTAGGCACTCCCAATTAAATAAATTTATTCTATCTTAACTTATAGTAGGTGAGTGTTAAAAATACATTTTAGACTTTCAGACCTTTACAGAAGGTCTTTACAGAAGTCATTAAATGAATCACATACAATCTTATTGTGGCACTGATCACTATGTACAATGGTGCTCATTTCCTATTTGAGTCTACATCTGCTATGCGATCTTATATTTCTCTTTTAAGACCATAGTTAGAATATACTTCTTACACTGAGCAATGTCAGTTAGGGATACTTTTGTAGTACCAAAAGGCTTGGTGCAGACAGTTGCACTGTGAAAAAATATAGCTTATTTCCTTCAGGGAAGTTCATAAGCAGTTCTGACAAAAGCACTTTATTGGTACAAGTTGCACTCATACTAGGAGCATTTTCAAGTAGAGTAGCCTGTCTCTTTGGTGAATGTCTGAATAACTGGGATCCAATGAATTCAGTCCACTGGTTTAATCATCAATTTTCCCAGTAAAGACCGAGTACTGACAGGGGACATGATAAGAACATTGATTTATTGCTCCCCTCTACAGCTGTACCAATATATATACAGCAGCAATCCTTTCCTAGAAGGCTGAGTTAAAAGGGCTGAAGAAACCCCACATACTAAAAGAAGTCTTGTCTATACACACCACAGTATACTCTTATACATTTAATATATTTAATCAGCTGGTCTAAGGTATATTTACAGTGGTATAACTGATAACATACTAAATGAAAAACTACATAAGACTGCATTAGGTAAGTGGACCACTCTAAATGGATGTTTTCTTACAGTGAAAATTTGCAGTCTGGAGCGTCTTACAGTCTAGAGAAGGTAGACAACGCTTCACTTTCAACATGGGGAGAGACTGGTAGAAAATCAGGTACTACCACATGTGGAAACAAACCTAGTTTTCACTTCCTTAGGAATGGAGCAGCGATCACAAAGCATTCTACTGCTCAGAAGAGAAGCAAAACCATAAAAAGACCAGAAGATTTTCATCTTAGTCTTTGGAAAGTGAAGAACCTAATGAGCAATACGTCGTTTAGTCTCAGTAGCAGTCAGTGACGGTTAGTACTAACTTAAACTCAGCTTTTTAACTTTTTTTTTTTTTTTTTTTTTTTAAGGGTGTGTGGATTCATGGAAATCACAAATGGGGCAGTCTCCCTTCTTAACTATCACATTTACTGAGTGCTAAAACAAAATTACACCAGCAGAAACAATTTTGATATCACAGCTATTTACCACAACCACATGAATCTATGGTATAAGTGACCTAACTGTGACTGGAGGAGAATCTCCACCTCTCCAGTTTTCGCTCTGTCTTGCAGTGATACAGTGCTCTTTCTTACAAAATAAAGCAAAACATGAGTAAGATTGTATTTGATAATGTGTTCCTAGTGAATATAACATGATAAAATCCTTGGATAGCTCTTCAGCTGGCAGAACCCCTTGGAGTCCTGCCATCTACACCAACTGAGGATATGGCTGATTACCAAATTTTTCCCCTAGGCAACAGAAAGTGTGTTTCACAATGTGTCAACCACACTTCATATGCAAACAGAGATCCATAACCATTTATGATTGGCAGTTAATTCTTACTGTACACACTGGCAGAAATGATTAGTGGGTAAACTAATGAACGGAGCTCTCCACCAGTATGCAGACAAGTGCAGTGGAGTCTCACATTATTAGACAACTTCAGTGAACTTCTGACTTTAATAGCTGTTCAGAAACTGTAGTATAAGCACAACAATTCACTGAGTCACAACAGCATCCCTCTCTGCACTAATGACTAATATTCATAGACTATTCAATGTCATCGTACTGTCAAATAAATTATTGAACACTGTCCACAGTCGGGATATCATTCAATTCCAGATACCCATCGATTTCAGTCTGGACATCATTCCCCCTGAATTTAATTCTATTCTGTTCTAAACTAATGAAGAATTTCTGTTTTCAACTAACAAAGAACAAAGAAGAGTGGACACATTCTTCTGCAAGATAATGAAAGAAATGACAGAGGAAAGAATGCTGAAATAAAACAAAGGTATTACTGTATGCTGTCCTCTACGAATTGAAGATCGTGATCCCATCTGCCAGACAAACAAGTTAGGTCTGTCTGTAATCAGGTAAGATATCTCTGATAAAGCAATCTGAGGTTCTCAAAATATTGCTGCTGGTGCAATAAATGGTGGTCTTCCTTTTCAGTCATACCTAGATCAATGACACATAGGTCTTAACACAGGTATCAAAAGCAAAGTAGTTTAGTGAAGTGATCCTGTGGCTGAGAGCCAAGAACATCAAAGTGTTATTCTTAGAAATACATTTATATCAGTGTGTGCTTTTAGGCAAATCACTAACTCAAAACTACATTACTTTCCTTATTTGCAGAACTGGGACATAATGATACTTTCATATTTTTGTAGAGTTCTTTGAAATCTATGGCTTCAAAGGGTGGTAAGAGCATCCAATGTTAATTATTACTATTGTTACTTAAATTGAAGGAAAACCGAGAAGAGTCACTGCTTAATATTTAAAAGGTAGTTTGAGTTGTGTTCATCTCCAGGGCATGAGTTAAAGGGTGTCTTTAACCTCCTCTCATCACTTGTTATGGAAGAGAGTATTTCAAATAAAAGGTGGTAGATAATAGTTATGTCCTGGTCCTTTTCCACTAGAAACACTTGAGTTTTGCATACTTAAAATTCAGTGAATTGTGCATGTTATTCTTCACTAGTCAGTTTTGCAAAGGGACTGAAAAAATAAGTAGAGCAAAAAAATGGCTTTACTTAGGTTGTTGGTGCATATGCTACCCCAAAAATGTCAAGGGAGTTTTCTGGCTATAAGCAAAGTCACCATCTGATAACTAGACACTGAACCTCGTGATCTTCCCAAATGGAAAAATCTATCCAAGGGAGAGAGGAGTACAATCTGAAAGGGTGAACAGTAACATGTACTGAAGAGTAAGCAGTGAAACACGGTAAAATTGAAACACTTTTGAAAATTTCACCTGAGAATTTATCACAAACAGATATTGGACTGACTTAGAAACAGGGCTAGAAGCAAACATTCAGCACTGATCCTATAATGAGCGTATGTTTAGGACAAATGTCATATAATTTAACATAGAGCAGCCAAGGTGTGCACCTCATCTAACAAATCCTCAATCTAACTGCTGGTTATGGAATAGCGAAAAACAGCTATGTTTCTGTTCTGGCTTCCCATGATTAGCTTATAGACATTGGTAGATGAGTACTGAACCAGCAGTAGTTCACTAGCACGTGACCTGCTGAAAGTTCAGCTTATAGAATGAGGTGAAAAACATGCGGTACTTGTGGGGATGTGAATCTTTCTGGAAAATAAGCATCATTTTATCATATTTGTAAAGTACAGTTCTAGTAATAGCCCATATACTGCCTTTAAAAGTGCAGTTCCAGAGGTAAGCAGGATCATAGAATCATAGAATGCCGAAGGTTGGAAGGGACCTCAGAGGTCATCGAGTCCAACCCCCCTGCTCATGCAGGGTCACCTAGAGCACGTGGCACAGAGCTGCATCCAAGCGGGTTTTAAAGATCTCCAAAGAAGGAGACTCCACAACCTCTCTGGGCAGCCTGTTCCAGTGCTTTGTCACCCACACAGTGAAGAAATGCTTCCTTAAGTTCCTGTGGAACTTCCGATGCTTCAGTTTGAAGCCATTTCCTCTAGTCCTAGGATATATCTACTTACTTTGCCTTTCCAGTGTGGAGGATGCAATCGAAGCAACATAAGTGTCAGAGGCATGTCTTTTTTATCACACAGGAAGCCATCAAGAAACTTTTCTAGAGGAAGAGACCATATGCGAGCAAAGACAGCATGATGTATGAGTCACATTGCTGAAATCAACTCTTGGATTCAATAGCGCCATTTGAAGGGACAAAACCATTATTTTCTTCAGCCATTCAAGCAGGGGAAACACACTAACTCAATTGCCAGCACAGCTACCAGAAGGAAATTGTGAACTCCTTTTAGTATTCAAGACGTTGCTCTAGTGCCTTATTCATATGAGATTCGGCATCTCTTTTGAAAACAGCAAAACAATGACTGTGTCTCCATTTTAATTTGGAAGGAGTCCAAATTAAGCTATTATGAGAGATAAATGATATAATGAGAACTGCATGCAATTTACTGTAAAAAATGAACAAGCAAAATGACCTCTCAAATGTTTGCATTTTTCTTCTTTGAACTTCCTGAAATTTTAATGTTCTAGGTAGCGAAGTCAAGTTTCATATTCAGCTTTCCTGTTAATGTTAACATGCACATGACAGGTTCCAACTAAGCAGAAAAATAGGACATTAGGATTCCAACCTAGCCTTCCGTTATTATCAAGGATAAATGAACTCAACTTACAGTTTTTGTATTAACTATTTCCAGAATATACTACTACGTAAAATATTGTCTCACTGAAGCTTTTCTGATTGGCAAATAGATATGATCATATAGCTTTTGAGCAGCAACATCTCTAGCTCATAGCCAGTCATCTTCCATTTTAAAGCTCCAAGTTTTTAAGCCTAAGGGATCCAATCAGATCTATATTAAGTGATGAACATATTATGTTAATAAGCATAATTATGCTAATGAATATTCTTCAAGAATTTCTTTATTTTTGATTCATTAGTTGGATATCATCATCTGAAAGCAATGGAAAATGTTTTGAAAAACTCATTTAACCCCTTTAGAGCAACCACAGACCTCAACAAGTTGTCTGTCTATCAATACTGTCCTAGTTGGAATTCCCAGTTTTGCATCTATAAAAATTCCTGTCAGTAGTCATCATTTCACTGTCCCTTTCACCTTCTTAATTTTCTAACAGTGGACTTCAAAACATATCTACATAAAAAAAATAATAAAAAAAAGAAAATTATAATCACCTTTTATTTCTGTAGCCTTCTGTATTCCTCTGCAAGATCTAATATCTTGAAACAGTGGAAGTGCTCTTGGTTCTGCAGGTTATCCCAGTGGCATAATGTCCTGAAGGGGAATGGAAAAACACTAAAATAACGTAAAAGTCGTCAGAGAGAGCACCGGACTGAAAAGAGCACAGGTCTAGCATGATACTGGAGAAGACTTGTTAACCATTTCATTCTTGCCAGTGCAATGAAATGCAGAGTCTGTGGACTTTGGGCCACTGCTCATTTTTTCCAGTGCTATTGTTTTTATTGCATTTTGTAGTAGTACTTACTAGAGATGTTATCTGTTGTCTGGCACTGTACAGCTTCCGTGTCACATTGCTGATCCCATGCATGTAACTATGCTGACACTTTAATGTGTGAGACACACACAGTATCATGATAAGCTAAAAGACAGATTTTTACAGGCCAGAAAGCTGCTTGTGCAGATGAGTGTGGGACATTTAAATGTGCCTCCATCCATGTGCCGATATTAACAGCATCCAAGCCTACTAGCAAAGAATTTGTATCAGGGAATATAAATTAGCATCATGCCAGTAAATGTGAGACTATTTCAGCCTAGCAGCTGACACAACAGCCTTACAGAAGATACAGTTAGGTTACATTTTTCTAGCACCAAAATAAAGGAACATGTCCATTGATGGCTATATGTTCTTTGCAATAAGCCTCTTTGGGCTGCTGGGTTATAAGCTAGTTTACATTCCAGAGCCAGCAGTGTTCAACCAAAGGGTTTTCATTGTGCTTTATCAGTTTAATATGCTCGAGCATTGCACTTGTGTGCAGAAAGGATGGAATTGTCACCCAGCTAACGGGCCCCGGAGGAGCTGCGGTCCTGGGACGTCTCCCTTCATCCTGGTCTCAGTGCCTCCCTGCATCAAAGCTTAAGAACAGAGCGTGTGAAGCCCTCTGCAATGATGACCTGTGTAATCCCACAGGGTTCACAGTGGAGACTGGTTGATGTTGACTGACAACTACTTATGATTGTGAAATTTAATGGTCAGTTTTAGCATCTGGTCCTCTGAACCTTGCATGCAGCGTGGGGCTGAGAGAAATCATTTCCCCCTCCACGTTCACTTTTCTTAGCTTTACTAAAAGAAACTTGAGCCCTCGCAAAAAGGATACAACATGCATAAACAGGGCAAACATTATGTTAAGCTATTTTAAAAAGTCTGTTCCTATCTGTTACTGGATGTAAGATTCAGACTTAATACCTATGGGAAAATGAATGAATTTGAAAATCTCTGTTTAGCAGTTTAGAAAATGGGATCTGAGATTGTTTTAAGCAAGATCATAAAGACCTCTCAACCTTTCTATTTATTTATTTTTTTTGCAAATACAATGACTGGCTTGATAGTGCATCAAATATGTATATGCTTCAAACAACGAAGCAGTGTCATTACACAATCTTGACAAGCTCCCAGTGTAATTGCAACCAAAACAAAAGATTTTTGAGGCTGCAGAAAAGTGTCAAAATAGGAAATCGAATAGCACAGACCTGAGATGTTTTCTATTTGCAGAACTTCATATGGGCACCTTTTTTTCATACTTTTAGCCATATATTGGAGAGCATAATTTGATGACAGACATGAAACTGTGTATTAGTTTTTATTTTGACAAATTCATTAAACATCACATAGCTTGAAAAATGAACCAGAAGGCACTAAGCCAGCCTGAGAAGATTGTACTTCATAAACTGAATTGCTCACATGGGCAACATTTTGGTGGAAGTTATAGATTTTCTAGCATATCCCTGATAGATAACACTAATATAACTTCAATAAAAACTCCGGATATGTCAATATAAAATTTTTTTCTAGCATCGAAAGATGTAAGACACTTCAACTAATAAATTGGAAGACTCTCTATTCCTTAAGGTACACTAACTTACACATCGGATTATAACAAGTATTGAAAGTCACACAAGGCAGCTGCTGCACTAAATTAAGTTATCAATGCACTACAGGTTATAATTAGAATTTAAGAACTAAACCAGCATTTTGTAAAATGCTAACATTTTCTATTTTTTTCAACTGTTAGATATTGTGTGGCTTTTCAAAATTGTCAGATATATGAAAAAGGTAATCAGTATCTGCTGCATGCAGTAATGCCCTTTCTCTTTGTTCCCAACAGTTGACGTTTCATTTACCTTCCTATGATTTACTGACTTTTTAAAATTTGCTGCTGCTACCAAATTTGATTTGGTATGAGGAATGCAAACAGATACCTGATTTTGAAAGAAAAACAGACACAGGACTTGGAAGACTGCCAGAACTTGGGGACAGGGTGATTCATCTGTGTGCATGTATGTGTTAACTATGTATGCACATACGTACCTTAGTGTAAATATATTCAGAGTTAGATTCTTTACAGATTAAATTGTACATATAATTAATTACATTTTCTTAAACTGAAAATAATTTCAAAGAAAAATGTTATAAAGTTTAAAGTAGGATGCTCGCAAGAATGACACTCTGTGCACTTCGGTAAGAAAATTCTTTAACTTCTTATATAAATATTTACCTACCATGGACAAGATGAAAGTCATAGCATGCACCATATCTAGATGGCCATTCATGGCTTCCTTGGACATAATACCTAATCAATACTTATGCAAGATTCAAGAGATATTTCTTAAACAAGTTTACAAATAAATTATACAGTACTTAAAAAACTCATTACTGTCTTGCAAATCAAAAGCAATATTAAAACATGTCCCAGCAGATCACTCCTTACCTGTTTGGAGGAAGCTGCAGAGCCTGAGCAGGTGAGCAGAATGATATTCACTACAGGCTGAGAAAGTGTGTGGTATTGTGCAAACGTCTAAAATAAAGCTTTAAAGCTGGGGGAGAGGAAACACCAAGACAGAAGATTAAAGGTTGGCCTGGGATGGTATGTGAACTATAAAAGCACTAACGATGGAACTGATTGCAGCTAGCCTTGAAATGGCACTCACCAAGACAACTTAAAAAGGGTATTGTATAAATCTAAATGTTTTATACAATACACACAGTATCTGGTAGCACTAATGATGGCAGAAAAAATCAGGTACTTCTACTCTGTGTATTTGTGTGCATGTGTGCTGAGATAGCCACCTCTGAGAAAACAGGAACAAGGTTTCTGCAGTACCTCTTGGCTGGCTAAGCCTTAACCCCTTTAAAAATAAAGGGGCTTAGCAACAACTTAAGGTAGAAATTCAGACATACTCAAACATAGCCCAGTTCAGACTTCAACAGTCCTCAAAAATTGCACTTCCTGATGTCACTGGCTAATGCATATTACAAGTGAACGTATTTCCTAGCTTTAAAAATTATACAAATTAGTTTGGACATCACAACTGTTAAAAATTTATGCAGACATAGAAAGCGAATAATGTTGCTGAATGTTTAATGCTATTTGTTTTCCAGCGCTCCCTACAAGTAAACAGAAGTGACACATTCCTTACGGATTGTGGACTGTGAGTAAGAGCAGCCGGCTCCTTCATGCTGGTTTCTCTTTCTGTGCATTCCTCTGAAAAGCCTTCACATCTGCCTTATTCCTGTTACCTACTTGCATGTGGTGTATTTGTGTGTAAACGTGCTTGCACAAAACAAGAAGGAAGTGTTTTTATATTTATTTCTTTTACCTGAAGTAAAAACTATCCTGTTTGTACTGTACAAGAAACCTAATGACCTTTATGATATCTCCTGTTCTCACCATCACAACAACAACAAAAAAAAGTATGATTTTTTTTTTTTTTTTAAAAAGGAATTTCACTTTCTATTAACACTAGAATATATTTGTCAAGCTGTGTGAATCAGCCTTGTGATTACTGCCCTTGGATCTCTTTCCAATTTTATCTTTACTTTTGAAATACATAACTGGAAGCTGATTTTCAAATTCAACGTAAAACACATATCTCTCTGATACTGTGATGGACAACACATTGATTGGGATTAATTAAGCTGAAAATCATTTTTCCCCATATACCATTCCCACTTCAGCACACAGATCTTTGGATCCGTGTCAATTTAGTTATATTTTTCAATTTGTAAAATGCATGTTTTATGGGAATGTAAAGAATAAGACACTATCATGTGCAATCTTCCTCTGGAAAGCTGTTGCTTCTGAGCAAGTGACCAGTAAGTTGAGTCCATGTTAACATTAATCAAATTGAATGCTAGTATGGGAAGGGCCTCAAGTTGAGAGGGGAAAAACCCAGTTTTTATCATGCATCTTTCTGATGAAATGCAATTAAGCAAGACCATGATCTGTACTGAATATTCAATGAAAAATAAATAAATTTGTTTTAAGACCCTTATGGCTACTTTGAAGAGCTAATTATTTGACCCCTAGAGGAAATGCACACCACTCAGTCTACAATGGTGAATTGAATATCCATCAATTGAATGAAAGAATAAAAAAAAAAGGAGACAGTGAGAGAGAGAGAGAGAGAAAATATTTGCATAACCTAGTATGAAATGATTTAATCTGAGGGAGAAGAGGTCAGCATATAATGCAGTAAAGTTACGAGCACTTCACAGAAATGTAATGACCTATATTTAGCCTAAACAATATATTGTTACTGTGAATGAATAAGGTTTTCAGACATAGTAGGTAAGTGGTAATAAATATATAATATACAATCTTTTGTCACGAGTAGAAAAAGCATTTAAATTATAGTGCTACTGTAGAGCACAATGACATTCTTTGTTATTAACCCTTCAAAAACTCTCTTGTTCCTTATAGGAATTGTCAATATTCAAAATAAAAAACAATAACTGAAATGAGTGAAGCTAAAGACAGAACCTTTTTATGAGCTTCCAAACATGTGAATATACACATACATAACCTGGACTGAAAGAACATTTACCTTTAGGTTTGGCCAGGAAAAGGGGGAATTTGTGAGCAACTTTGCATAGGCAGTCTCAGATTCAGGGCAAATACAAATGAAAAAGGGTACCTAAAGTTAGAAAGATTAAATTAAAGTAGGCCTGAAGGAGTGATGACTTAGGACTCCAAGTTATCTATACGTGATACACATATATATACACATATTCCTCTAACCACACCCAACAACAATACTATGATGAGGTCTATGCTGAAATCTACTCAATTCAGAGAAACTCCTTCCCAAACAAAGTGAAATAGCAATACTCGTAATAGCATGCTTCTCCTTAAAAGTTAGAGGGACACAGACAGAAATGTGATCATTCCCACAGAAGCCTAGGGGACCACGATGGCGGGACGATCAGGAGCGAGGAAGCAGAGGGAGGAAGGAGCTGCCAAGAGCACACAAGGGTGATCCGCCTCGAGAGGTGCTCACTTCCATGAGAACTGAAATCACCAGGGCTGAGGAGAACAAGGCAGAGAGAGCAGGAAAGAGGCAACTAGTGAGGGAATTTATGCAGGCTCGAAGTTGAACGAAAAGCAGCAGAACTGAGGTCTTACCAAAAGACAGGTTATTGACAGGGCTTGGAGGCCTCTGCCTGCCAGGCCGGTAAACAGTCGACAAGGGGAACGTAAAGCAGCAGGTCTGGGGGTTGTTTTTCTTCCATCTCCTTTCCTGTTTGCTTTCTAGATAAAGAAAATTGAAAGCCAGTGGGACTGGTTAGTGAGAAAAATTGTGCAGTGTTACATTTATTTTCTTTATTGAAGTCCTGTTGCTCAAGCAGATCCAACCATACACAAAACATGCAAAGTTCCCACAAGAGCCTGCAGGGGTACGGGGCCATTCTGTCCCCTGCTAATAAATGAGGCAGGGATGTTCACGAGAGAGAGAAATGCTAATTAAGGGGTAGCTGCCTTTTGTAAGCAAAGAATTTTTTTTTTTTTTTTTTTTTTTTACTGTATTTCCAGTAGGTGGTCTCCTGATCAGAATAATCTTTTTTTTTTTTTCATACACTATTACTTCTTTTTAATCTTTTTGTGAAGCTTATTTGACTGAAACTGCTTTAAGTGCAGTAACAATCACAGAATAATGATGAGAAACAATGATCTTTTAAATTAGAATGATGTTCTGCAAAGGATGAGAAAGAATTCATCTCTGCAATAAAACAGTCAAAGCTTTGGATTTTTTTGTTTTGTTTTAATACATTTGAAAAGATTTCACGGAAAGGTAACTATAATTACCTTTGAGTATAGCTTTGACCTTAATATGTACCTCAAAGGACAATTAGGTTTAGCTCTGAAGGTTTTTTTCTTTTATACCTCTTGCTGAATAAAAACATTTTCTTTTTACAGTCCAGACCTCATTACATGCTAAGCATAGTATTTGTGGCTGTGATAGAGCACTAGATATTTAATGTTCTAGCTGTTGTAGCATATGCATATATAATATAGAGCTCATGCAACTTTTATAAGTTTATCTCTACTGACTCCCTTTTAATACCTCACTAAGGACATTTGTGGTATCGTTCTTTATTTATTTTACATACCACTTGCCCCCACTGTGGATAAGCATGAATAAAAATTCTGAAGGTAAGTTATCTATAGAGAGACTTGGTTAGCTTTAAATAATATATATCTGACACAGGCTTCCAAATATGCCTGTCATGGAGCTCTGATGAAATATAAACATCATTATTATTATATAAGTATGATGAAAGGGATAGATTTGAACCAGTCATGACGAAGCTGAACAATACTTAATTTTGCATTATGAGAGCTTATGTCTGAACAGCATATCTGTTTTTTAAATAGACTATCTGACCAAAGTGTGAATTTATAAAGATCGTCACAATTAATTTAGGAAAAAATGTGAAATCCCCAAACTCTTTCTCTCAAAAGGACAGAAGTATGAAATGAAAATTGACCTACAGTCTGTGTTAACAAATTACTCTCCAGCAAATCTGAAGCAAACTCTCCTGAGGTATGTCCTGTGGACAGAGCAACAAATACATGCACATTGTGTGTGCGCATGCATAGTAAGCAAGAAGCTGGGTAGGTAACAAAAAGGTAAGAAATTGCTTCACAGAACTAGTCTGTAAAAAATGAAGGGATTGCTGCCATATCTCTAAAGACTTGGCACATTTTTCACATTTTCTGTGATACCATTGTTGACCATGAAAAGCATTTAAAAGCTGGTTATCTTCAAAAAAAAAAAAAAAAAAAGTCATGTTTTGCTTAATGCAGTACAAATCCAATACCTGGCCAATATAACTTTCTTCATGCCTACGGAGAGCTCCAACTTTCCTTATGCGTTAATAGCATGGTTCCATTTTTCTAGCTCTGCAATATGACATAATGCAAATCTTAATTATTACTTAATTGGTGTTTACACCCTTGATCAATTCTGAAAAATTTTAAAGCTGGAAAAACACTTCTGCAATAAAAAGAAAAGCAAGTATGTGAAAACTTGATAGAAATATTTTTCTTAATGGATTTCAGGAAAAAAAAAGTGGTTTCAGGAACTTAAGGCAGTTGAGTTACTGACTCAAAAATCAAGTCATGTATGCACCTAGTTCTCTTCTACAGTAAAGGGCAACAAAGCAAATTTCTAAAGTACTTTTATACACTATAACTGTATGTTGGAAGGCCATAGAGGATGTGGATGGATGTTACTGAGAACTGAAGTCCATGCCACCGATGTTCTGGAGAATTTATGGTAGACTAGCTCTAGGCAGGTTCTATGGACTAATCACTCACATGGTTTGGAACAGATCTGCTGTTTTAGTTTAATCTGAATGGACTCCAGCTCATACGCTCTGATCCTACTCATGACGTGAGCCAAAGCACAGCAACAGAAAACCATCAGGAGAGGAGCTTCAAAGCACCTTCCTGTGCAAGCTGAAATACTGATATAAGCATATCCCATAACTCTGGGAATTTTCCTGAGTTCAGAGGGATTCAATGAAATTTAGCAAACATATTTTGGGGAAGGGACCTAAGGGTAAATTGATTTTTAAATAGGAAGTTGTATTTTCCCGATTAGAGAAAATATTAATTTGCATTGTATTTTGTATTTACCTTTTTCCAGACTATCTGAATGGATGCATGAAAGAAATGATACAGGTGTAAGATAACAATATGTGTTAAAAACAGTGTACAAAAAATACCTCTTGAAATTGAACATGTTGTTGTTGAAAAAAAATGCTTTTCTTTGAGAAATGCTTTGAAACATTTTAGAGCTTAGAGAATTCTCAAGGTTATCAGTTGGGACATTATAGGGATAAAATAGAAGTCTGAATCATAAAAATAACAAGTGGTTTGTTTTTCTGTTGTTTTTGGAGGATTTTTTTTTCTTTGCAAATGTGGAACATGCGCAGGTAAAGTTGAAACTGAATTTCCAGATAGAATTCTACTGCAGTTTGCAAACCCACCTAAGTCAAAGTGACAGTCAGACCATGAACTGAGAAATATGTCACAACAGATTTCCTTTAAACATAAAATAATTCCAGATGCTCTCCAAACCATTACCATTTTGTAATTTTAAAAAGAGATGAGGACAATCCTTGCACAGGGATATTTCAGCTGTTCTCTACTTTTAGCTATACCCATTCTTTAGTCATTGCAACTCTTCCATTCTATACCTATTTTTATTAAGAACAAATCCGCAAAAGGTGCTTTACGGAGAACATCTTCTAGGTCTATAATCTTAAGGAAATTTTCCTTTACATTGTGCCATTTGCATTTTTACATTTTTTAATACTAAGAGTAACCTGTGTAATTCATTCCATGAAAAGACTTTCCTTTCCCCTTTAAAGAAATTAGACCTATTTTTTGGATCATTAAGTAGTGCATAATCTTCAAATGGGACATTAAAAACTGTAATCAGTGACATCACCATGACAACCGATTAAAAATGTCTAGAGGAGCTTCTGAAAATGTAATTTTTTAATATAATACATTTAAATGAGTTCATTAGAACAAAGCGCCTTAAGTAGATTTATTGTGAACTGAACATCTAGAAATAATTTGGCTATACAATGAACATTAAAATCTTCTCACTGTGACTCCAATAGATTAGGGGGGGCATCAAAGAAAAATTTGTCTTTCCTGTAGTAATAGACAGAACCTTGGATGTAGAACAAGAGTTATGAGAGTATGGGTAAGTGATCCAACAGCAGTGCATTTATTTAGATGGCAGCTTTAGCAAAGAAAGGCATTACTTTTGAGTAAAGAAGGCAGATCTGAACTCTAAGAAAGTATCATGTAAAGGTCTGAAAGCTAACTCTTCAAAACCCTTGAACAGATGCTACCTGACTTTAGAAAGCCCTCAAGTTTCTCACTGCCTGTATTTGTAACCTTAACCATCCATAAATTTCATCCTGTTGTGCTAAAAACATTAGAAGCTTAAACACCAGCAGGATTTACAGATCAAGTATCAGGCCATCTTTTTATTTTCATCTTGCTACCACTGACACCAGTGTATTACACTTCATGAATTATTCTTTGCTGCATACTTCTTCCTCTGTTTATTGTTTATAGTTGGCCAGTTTGCAGCTATAGGTTACACCATGTGAGGGCACCTAAGAATTAGGCACTACAATAAATCCCCTTTGTGCTTTAGCCTTTAGTTACTATGGGATGCTTTGCCTACTGTCCTGCCTGCTTTGAATGAATGCGACTGGAAGCAGCAGAAAGATCATTCTGGCATAAAACAACAGTAAAATATAAATAAAACATGTGCATAAAGAGACTACCTGCATTATACTGTGTTACAAGGTAAAATAAATTATGTGCCTATATAAAAGGGCACTCATGAGAGTAAAAGCTAATCAAAATAATTTTTTAATGTCTCATAAGAGCACAAATAGGATAAAACCATTTTTACAGATAATCTGTAGATTAGCTATACTTAAATAAGATTAAACTATGCAACATGCTCTATGTTAAATCTCTAACTCATCTTCAAAAGAACTACAATAATATAGGAATTTCTTCCATCCATCTTTAAGTTTCCAACTCGCCCATTCAAGTTAAACAAAACTTTTCTATCTTTTGCACTTATGTCTCTAGATTTTGTCAGATGTATTTGATAGACTTCTTGATAACTACTTTCTGTCACAAACGGATTGCATGCTTAAAATAAAGTATTTCCAAAATATTGAATTGTAGTAAGTGTTGTGGTTGCAGGAAAGCAGGACTCAACTTTCCTTATAACATACAACACTTGGAATGACACCACCTTTTTCCACTGCAAAAAACTCACAACAGGGACATCATCTCCATTACTGTAAACAGGTACTGATCCATCGATGTGGTCTAGATCCACAGTACTTTATATCAACTGCAAATCTGTCTCGTAGACTGTTTGCCTGTTTAGCATCCTAAAATGTCCACAAATCCAAGGGTTTGTTAGGAGAAAACTTTGGGTAAGTCTGCTAAAATGGGATGCTCACCTTCTAAAACTTTAACGCAGTGCAGCAAAATGTGTTAAAAGCCTGCAGAAGATTGGGTGTTTCAAGTTGCTCCCTAAACTAGAAGCATTCCCAAACACCAACTCCTTTTGAAAACCTGGGCCGTTACACTTACAAAACACTGACTTGCTATTAAACTCCTTGTTATTCTTTTACTTATGAGACACTTTACCGGCCTGTCATCACCCGCTGTGATTAATTCTCTACTTATAAAATTTTAGCTCTCTCTCTGCTGCTGATGTTAATGTGCTTTGTACCAAATAAAAATGAAGTTGATGTTTACAAATCCTGTCTGGAGTTGTAGGGTTTTTTTTTGTTGTTGTTTGTTTTTGTTTTTTTAAAAAAGCTCTTCTTTGGCTTATATTAATGAGACCAAATGTAATGCTTTCTGCTGGAAATTGCTCTGGATAATTAAACACTGTTACAGACTACTATGGAAAGTATAAAACTCACAGTGGTTTAAAAGGTTTTAAAATATGGTACCTTTGGAATATATGCTTTGTTATTAAAAGCCTGTGTATTTTCCACATACGCAAGAAGTTAAGATTTGAAGATCACAAGCACCCTTCTTAATAGTATTTGTGAAACAGGAATTTGCATGAGAAAAGAGCTTCAAAAAATAAGATCTACATAGTCATATAAATAACTTCAATTAAAATTAATAGGAAAAACCTATAGGATAGAATCTTGCAATCTGGAGTGCACATAACATTATCCATCCTGAAGGACAAAGTAAAATTTATCCCCAGGAGATCGGGGAACAAGAAGCATAGCAATAAAATCTGTACTTCTCTGCTGGTGCCTTCTCCTCATTCACATCTTTCTCACTTGCATGGTTCTCCAAAACAGGATTTTTCTTAACCATGTTGTTATCTAAAAATACAATCAACACATAGATATAAGCTGCATGAAAATGATAACAGAGAGCGAAGAAACATTATGTATTCTCTTTGCTTCTGCCCCAACCTTCTCCTAGTTCTGCTTACATGCAACCCAACCCAATCTACAACTCAAGCCTGTGCAATGCTCAACATGCACAGCTGAAATGATATGGCTGAATTGTGAAGGAGATCTCTAGGATGATCTAGAACCTTTCTGGAAAAGTAAAGAAATGAAAGTAATGAAAGTAAAATAAAGTTTTGAATTATACTTCCACTGTTGGGTAGCAGCAGTAAGACTGGATGCCTAAATATCATTCTGTATTAAAAGAAATCCAGAAGTTGCTCTGCCTCACGACTTACAAGGAACGAAGGAAGACAAAGTCTAATTAATCTAAAAAGCCAAGCGGCACTGTTCAGATTGCAGGCCTTGAAGGAACTAATGTATTTACAGAGCTCTTATGCTGGAGAGAGCTAGTTTTCTCTTTTTTTTCCATACTAAATACATTTCATTAAATAGGATGAAGCCATCTGCTTTCTTTAAAAAAATAAGATTTTCTAATTCTTTGCAAATCCGAAACATCTAAGAAAGGCAATGTCTTCATACAATCCTTGAAAGAATTTCTTATCATATTTCTTTAGCTTTTATTCATAAACATACACACACGCAAAGCATTTTGTATGTTCTCGATGTTTGCATCTACTCTTTTTCTAGAGCCTGATGATGCTTTCCATTACCATCTTGGGAACATGCTGTTCTGTTAACCAAACTGTTAACCAAATAACTGTTAACTGTTAATCAAAATAATAAGTGAGAACTAATCAAAAGATTTTTGTGCCTTTAACAGAGAAGAATGATCTATTCTAAAAGCACTATGTCAACCAGAATTTCTAAATTCAGTCATTATTTTCTATATAGTCTGAAATGTCAGAAGACATTTATATATGGAAGAGACATATACACTCAC